TATATACACATATAAAGAGAGGGGGGAAGGGAGATTTTACGATTAAATTTTATAAAAATAAATACTAGCAAAATTTTAAATATTTAATAGTGTTAAAAATTAATATTAAATGATATTTAATAATTTAAAAAATATTTTGAATATTTAATAATTAATTTATATATATATATATATTTTTTTTTTAATATTTTTTATATAGGTGAGATAAAAAGAAAAAAAATATGAAGAATTTCAAATTCTTACTTTTTTTTTTTAGAAATTGAAACTTTACTATTTAAAGAATTTTACAAATACTTGGAATATTTTAAATTCTTCACCCAACTAAAACATTTTACCATAAGACATTTAAAATTCTTCAAATAAATGAATTAATATACTTAATTCTCGATCCAAACATACCATAATGTTGGAATTTACGATGGTCATAAGATGTACATTAAAAAATTACAAATATAATCAGAGAATACATTTTTTTTTCATAAAAACCTCCAGTTGACTTTGTTCTTGGCCAGGAGCCACCTTTCTTTTGCTAAACTACAAAAACAAACAAACAAAATAAATAAACCACCCGTCAATATCTCATCCCATCTCATTCTTTAGTATCTCATACATTTGCATATCATTATTACATGTGTGTTATTATTCAACAAAATGCATTGAATAAATTAGTACATTAGATCCAGTAGTTACTTTTCCAAATTGGATCAAAACAAAAACAATGAACTCATCGTCATCATCAACAACAGGAGACACGACCAAGGTACCACCAATAAAGTCATCGTCGTCGATTGCAGATTCATTGTGGGGATGCGGAATTTCGAGTGGTATTCATGTGAAAAAGGAAGAGCTTAAGCAAAAGCTAACAATACCACAATACCTACGCTTTTCAATGCAAGATTCCATCAAGTTTAGGGACCCCACCGCTGGCCAAAGTCATTACATTCAAAACAAAGACAACGACAATGTGGTGGCGCCATCCACACCTTTGGTTGTTTTCATTAACCCTCGTAGTGGTGGTCGTTGCGGCCCTATTCTCAAGGAAAGGCTTCAACATCTTATGAGTGAAGAACAGGTCATGTTTTTATCTTTCTTTGCATAATAATAAAATGCGATTATAATATTTTGATTTTGAAATTGTAGTTTTAACTCAAGAATGCCTATTTATGATAGAGCCAATTTCTAAATAATAATAATAATCAACAAATATATAAATATATGCAATATTTTTAATATTCTCATCTTCTATAGAGTAAAATCTTTACATGCCATTTGAAGACACACCCAAAGGATCAAGTTTCTGCATGGATGTGAAATAAATGTTTGCCATATATGAGTGTCTATATATCATTATGCTTTACTCTTTATTTTGAGATATATGGATGGAAGGAACTAAAGAATAAAAAAAAGAGAAGAAATTAATACATGTGACAAATGGTCCAATAAAAATTGAAGAGAAACATAGAAATGTTGAGTGTGTGAATATTATAATTGTTTTTTAAAATACTTTTTATTTGGGATTTAATTTTAGATGGTTTTTTTATGACTTTCAAATTGGAGTGCAACAAATTTAATTTTGTGATGATGAACATATGTACTAATGAAGTATAGAAAATAGTAACTTATATTTGTTTATAATTACAATTTTTCTTGTTAGTTAATTCAAGTTACTGACTAAAAGCGAAATCATAATCTATGACTATTGTTGTTAGAGGATCTTTAGGAATTGATGTTAATATGATTAAAGTAATGTTTATTACAGGTTTTAGACATGTTAGATGTGAAGCCTCATGAGTTTATTCAGTTTGGGTTAGGCTGCCTAGAGATGTTGGCTGGTCTTGGTGATTCTTGTGCTAAAGAAACACGTGAAAGAATAAGGATTGTGGTATACTCTGCTACATTTATTACAAGTGTGCTAAACAACAATATACATTTTGTTTTCACATAATAAACACACAATTATTTGGTTTCATCAACCTCATATATTATTTGGATTATTAATCTTTAATATCAAAACTCATTATTTAGTCTTTTGCCACTGTCCATACATTGTTTAGAAAAATAATAAGTTAAAACCCAAGCATTAGATATTGTATTCTTTTTTCCTTCCTAAGTAAATTCAAATTTATCTTCAAAAATATTTGTTGACACTTACACTAGTGATTAAGAATGTAAAATCAATCTCAATTTGGTCTCTAAAAAATACAATGGCTAGCAAAGGGACAAATATAAGAAATACTGTGACAAACCTTTATGGTTCTTAAAATTGAGATAGGGTTTTTCAATCCCATAAAGACATGTATTTGTAGAAAATTTCTTATGGGTGAATTTTGAAGTTTACTTTTTTCCTCTCCAACATAAAATTAAATAAATAAATTAATATTGATTGTAAATGAGTTTATTAGTTAATATAAATATTTTGTGCATGTATATATGTATGTATGGCGGATGAATGTTTATATCAACTTGATAGGTAGCCGGAGGTGATGGTTCAGTTGGATGGGTATTAGGATGTCTCACAGAACTTCATGAACGAGGTTACGAGTCAGTTCCTCCAGTAGGGATAATACCACTTGGTACAGGCAATGACCTATCTAGGAGTTTTGGTTGGGTAAAATCATATGCCATGAAACTGTGTAAAATAAAAGTTGATTATAGTTGTAAATAATATTAAATTCTTTTTTAATTTATTATGTATTGCCAGGGTGGTTCGTTTCCTTTGACATGGAAACCAGCTATTAAGAGAACTCTTTACAAGGCTAGTATTGGTCCAATTTGTCATTTGGATAGGTATATATTATCTTATAATTTTGCATGGTTAATTATGGTAGACATGCATACTTAAGTTGGTGTCTACAAATTAGTAGTTATTCAAAAAAGTTATTAAAATCTAAGTTGTTGTTTGGTAGAAGACTAAAAATATTGTTGCATATATATGAAACAATTACAATAATGATTTTTTGTAATGATCTTCTAATTCTACTATAAATATTGAATTGATTAAATTAATATAGATGATGACTTCTAGCTTCATGAGTTTCTATTTGCAATTTTAATATACTTAAAAAAACACATCTTTCAAATTTTACTGCTCTCAATTCTTATACTCGAAGAATGGAATCAATACACTAAATTATCGAACAAATTATTACTAATATGTTTCATCAATTGACTTTTTTTTATTATTATAAAAAGATTAATCTATATTTCATAGTTTTTATGATTTAATATGATTACTTTTTTTAAACAAGACAAACTATAAGACACTTTAATGAGTTTTCTACTTCAAATTTTTCAAATAGCTTACAGTATTATTTTAGCAAATTAATTTTTTTTCATAGAATATTTTCTCTTCCAAATTTCAATGCTTCAGTTATAGTTTATATTGTTCCCAAACTGATTTAATTTTATCAATTTGTAAGATATCACATTCTTAACTGATAGAATTTCTAAAAGGCTTTGCATTTTTAGTAGTAGTTTTGTGATGATCATGATATCTCTTAGAATTTGAATATAGGTAGACATAACTCTTTCTCTAAATTTCTTCTATGCAGTTGGCGATTTTCACTTTCAATGCCAGAAGGCACAATAATAGAATCACCACATTCTTTGAAGCAAACTATAGAGTTCACACTTGATGAGGTTTTTGGTTCATCTTTTATGTCATATAGCTAAATTTATTCTAGGCATTCATAAAATTAATTGAGTTGGCTTATTTTTTTAAATTGTTGAGGTTCTTTATCAATGTTTTCATATTCATATGATTTTGTTAATGCATACATGAATGATAACCAATTAGGTTATTGTCTTTGAGGCAGTGTCTCATGCTTTAAATAATAAATATTGAATTATGATCAAAATGGTAATAACATATTTTTCTCAATATATATAGAGAAAGTATCAAATGAATATACTTCTAATCATAATAAATAAAAATTATAAATTTAGACTATTAAATATCATTTGAATGATTAAAATTAAAATAAAAACACACGTGACTTTCAAAAGTGGTTGCAACCACTAAATAAATTTCAGTCTTAATCATTCTCGTGTAGTTGTATAACTTAGATTTAAATTTCTTTTTTTCTTTTCTAAGAAAATTAAGAACCATTCTCACTTAAGAAACATCCATAAATACTAAAAAAGTTAAAAGTGACTTTATTTGATCTTAGACATAAATAAAATACAAAATATATAAATTTCATAAAAAAAATATAACTAATTTTTTTTATATCCTAAGATGTTAACCATAAGATTCTATGATCCTTTTTTATTGTATATGATCTTGGTTCATACTTTTGATCCTTGTGCAATTTATTACGTGATTTTAAAACATATAAAATAATGTGTACCTTTTTGATTTGCATACTTCAATTTCATTACAACAGTTGAAAATATAAAAAAACGTAAAACATGAATATGTACTTAGTTTATGACCATTTTTAAAATGACAACTCATAATTTTTTCTACTCATTTTTTTAATAATTGTGATAGAAACAAAGTAAAGTGTTCAATTGGAAGAGTTTAATAAAACTCATTTTGCATGCTTGTGAAGTTGTAGTACCAAGGTAAACATGGGTCATAATATAGAAGAAAATTTATAATTTCCACATAATTATATTTAATCGTAGGTAATATAAATAATAATAGTTTAATTAGTCTTAAAATTCATATGAAAACATTTCATATCTTCAAATTTTCTAGTGAGAGTCAAATGATTAAATAAATATTAGCTATATATTTTTCTTTTTTTTATTGATAAGCCATATAATATTATAAATATAACAAGTTGTTGATCCGAGTGGTACTAGACTCATTCTTCTTAAGTGAGGTCTCGAGTTCGAATCTTTTGTATAAAAGAAAACATGATTGGGAGGAGAAATCCCACTAAATGTGTCTAACTAGACTTCTCAATGGAGATTAGTTATCAACGAAGCTAATAGATACTTTGTACAAATAACATGGTTATCCAAAAAGATAATTTTTTTTTACATTTCAAGTTAATTGGCTTGAAATTATTTTAAAAGCCATATATGTTTAAAGTAATTGTTATAAAGCTTAAACATATTGATCCATTTTGGATTGGTTCTAGTGAATGATAAACACTCTCTCAATAAATTAATATTGAGTACTTTATATATCCGATACAATCAAAGTAAACATAATCTAATTAGTAGAGAATAAAATGATTTTTTTTCTTTCATTGATGTGAAAATTGTATACGAGTCTTGATGATTGTTTTTGTTGTACTCACTTATTTATGATAACTCAATGTCCTACAAGCATAATATTAATGCACACCATTCACACTAATTTTAATATTAGTTATTTTTTTCATTGAGATTTTCACAACTTAATATATTGGTGCATTTTTGTATAATATATAAAGTTTCTTCTGATTGAAGGGCTTAGAAGTTGAAGGAGACTTGCCTAAGAATGTCATATGTTATGAAGGCGTGTTCTACAATTACTTCAGTATAGGTATTGTTGTCTTTTATGTATGCAACAAGTTTCTTCCATAACTATAACTATTAAATTTAAATGATAGTTGTAACAATTTTATAACGAAACATAACCTTAATTATGAAATTATTTGATAAAATGGATTTTTTTTTTCTAAACAAAACCTACAGGAAATTAAAGTAGTGTAGTAGATGAATATTGTCCTAGGTTTTGGATTTCTACCCTTTAAATATATGGGAAGAGTTATCTTTCTATAATAATCCAGGGAGATCTCCAAAAAAATGGAGATGTAAATCAAACATTATATGTTACATACATGTGCATTAAAACTCATAGACTTAAGAAACTCATTAGCGATAATACTTACATTGTGATAAAGATTGTTAAGGGAGAGAGTGAGATTAGTTGCTAGTACCACTTATCTGCATTTTTCAGTGAAACATCGAATCAAATTTTATTACTTTATTGGCCATACTACTAAGGAGTTGTTTTTTCAATTTTCTTAAACTCTTATCATACTATTAGAGTTTCATGGGATAAATTTAAATTAAAAAAACAATTTACATTAAAAGATCCCATGAGAGGAACAACTCCTTTCTCATAGATCATAAACTACCTAGAACCACATTAAGGGTTTGAGATTTTACTTTTGAAGCATGATTTAAGAATTTTCATTGAATAACTTTTGTTTGAATGGAGGATGATCTAATTTTGATCACCAAGCACCAAAAGCATAATGCCTTTACTCAACCCACATGAGCAACACTAGAGAGGGTTTGGTGCTAGTCATAGAAATGGAAAAAATAGTTTTGTAAGACAACACAAAACCTTTATTTTAATGTGATTGGCAAAATTAGGTTAACACGTCCTTTTATATACTACTATTTAACCTAATTTGCATCCTTACTGGATTTGTAAATTAGAAGCCCAATTTATTGTCCAATTTAATTAAATCATATTTAATTAAACCTTTCTTCAATTATTAATTAAATATTATCTAATTAATTAACCATTAAGTTAAATGTCTTTTAACTTAATTACTTACTCTAAGTTTTTTATTTGATGAATGTGACCTTGTAGGTTCTCACTTAATTGATAATAATATTTAAATATCATGTTGAATATAATACTAAATATTTTAGATGAATATTGACATATAACAATGATTAATTGACACCAAATTCATAAGAAAAATTGATGATCAAATTTCAATCTTCCATGACCATAATTACTATAGATTAATTTATCCTTTCATCCATACGCCTTTGATTTGAACACGGGACATAAAAGTGTCATTCTCGTTATGTTCAATCATATATTTGTTAATACCCAAGTAGATGTTTAAACATAAATATAGTCCCAATATCTCATATTGACCCATTCTCGATAGGCACACATATTTCATGTCTCAATCACATTCCTCCACATAATTCATTGTAGACCCAATTAACTAATTTTATAATTACCCTATTACGAATAATATTTGATAGCATGAAAGCCTACAACTCCTAAATGTAAGGATTATAGTGACTTCAAGTCGAAGGATTACTCTACTATGGTTTCCATGAAAAGCACTTATGACACTTGCATAATTATTATAAAGCTTTCTCATAATGGGTCCATTCAACATAAACATTACTTCTAATATTTATACATGTGTCTGACTCAATATCTCATATCCATGATGTGTGAGATGCGATCATCAATCAACTCACACAATAGTCTCAATGTATTATTGTCATCCTAGTTAAAAATAATACTTCACTACAGATAATAGATAAAGTATTGGCCACTAGGGTTAACTCCAACAATCTCCCACTAACACTATGGTGAATCAAACATAATCCTATTGCCTATCAACCTAGTGAGTGCATCATGTTTTTGTTAAGCAAGATGTTTTATAAGTGGGTAACCACATTCTCCAATGTGAGCATTCTACATATCTTAACATCTCTTCTATTTATACTTTATTGAATAAGATAAAAGCCTCTAAATATAAATATACTTTTGGATCACAGATGAGATCTAAGTTCATTAGCTTGCATGATTTCTCTATTGTCATCACAATAAAGGTCAATCAACTCTATAATGCCAAGAACAACTCCAGGTTTAGTAACAAACTTTCTGACTTGAACAACATCCTTAGTTGCATCTGATGCAACTATATATTCAAATTTTATAGTTAAATTGGCAACAATTTCTTTTTATGAACTCTTGTAGCTCATAATGCCACCATTTAAACAAAACATAAATCCTGACTATGATCAAGAATCATCCTTATTGATTTAGAAGTCAACATTGGTGTAATCCCTTACAACGAGCTCTTCCTCATCTCTATATACCAAGAATGAATCCTTTTTAGTACTAAAGGATATTATTGACAGTTATCTTGTCAACTTTACCAAGATCAGATTAGTACCTTCTTTTGATGCTTAAGCATACAAAGCATTTAGTCTAGCACAACTACATACATGATAGATTCGATTTTCGTGGCATATGGTATCTTATTCATGCATTCCCTCTCATCCATTGAAGCATGGGACTGCCAATTGGAAAAGTATACACTATGTGACATATGAGCCTTTTAGCTTATAATCATGCAAATTAAAGCTTTTTAGCACTTCATCAACTCATATACTTTGACTAAGGCTGAAGAATTCCAACGATCTATCTACATAGATCCTGATTCTTAATAATATATTTTGCCCAAGTCCTTTATTGAAAAATAATTTCTCAACCATATTTTCACAAGTAGAAGTGCTGGGATGTTGTTTTCAGTGAGTAGTATGTCATCCACACACAAAACTAAAAAAACAATCATGCTCTCTGTAACCTTCTTGTAGACAAGGCTTTTATTTGTTAAAGATGAATCATATTGTCTAACAATATAACTACAATAAAGTTTACATCTTGTAGAAGCTTGCTTTAATTCATAATGGATCTTTTGCCAGTAACATAGTTTTCCATTTTATCTAGATTGATAAAACTTCTAGTTGTGCCATGTACAAATCCTCAAAAAGATTTCCATTAAGGAATATTGTTTTGACATCTATTTGTCATATCTCATAGCCATGATATGAAATAATAGTAAGTATAATTTGAATGAATTTAAACATCGTAACTGAAAGAAAATGAGATCAACAAAAGAGAGGGAAAAATTTTACTTGCACATAAATGCTTGTCAAAACATAAAACATATAAATTGCACATAAATATGATGACAGACACTCTAATTTGAACCAAAACACACAACATTGAAAAATGTATAAACCTTAAGATTTGAAATTTCGAACAATTTACCGAACAAAGGATTTTGATAGTCACTAAGAGTTTTGTTGCATGAGAGAGAGTGAGAGATAAAATGATAAACCCTAAATTCCCAACATTGCATAATAGATTGTTGTGAAAGAAGGAGTGAGTGATTGTTGGAGAGAGAAAATGACTATAGAAAGAGAAAATAAAATAAAATAAGTAAAAATCATGGTTGAGATGCTTTGATTAAACAAATTATTGGGGGATTTTTTACTAGCAATTTCTATAGTGGTCATTAATGATAGGTTTTCTAATAACAATTATTTATTAGTCATAAGTAGTTTTCATTAGAGAAGAAAATACTTGCAATAGATTTATTGCCACTAAATCATTGTCATTAAAAATAAAATTTGTTAGAAATGGTTTTTAGAAAATATGGTTTATCCAAGACAAGGTGAATTGGATATTAAGAAAAATTCTTTCTGAATATTCTTATTTTAAAAACCTTTCTAAGACTTTCCAATGAAGTATATTGATATACGGTTGAATATATGATACAGTGTTAAGATATTTTGTGCATTTAATATCATATTCTAATAGTCCTATATGCAATATTCATGATTCACATCATACAACATTAAGCTTATAATTAGATTTACAAGAATGTAAATACAAGTGTAAGGATAAAGAAAAATGCACAAAAAATTTATATTGGTTCAACCACATCGACTTGTGACCTACATCCAGTCCCTAATCAACCTGATTGAGATTTTCCATTATCTTTGAATTCAAAAGGTTTACAATCACACAAACACATGTAATACACTTCTACACATTTAAAGAAATCACTTCTTGCAACCTAAGAAGTTTCCTCTTGTAGCACCCCACTACAAGATTCCCTTTTCTTATGGAACTAATTACAGAGATTACGAATTCACTTGATGTATAAACAATTCAGAGAGGTGAATAAAAAATAATGTAGCTTAGCCTAAATTTCCATGTAAATGATGATGATCAATTCAGTTCTTGAATTCTTTCTTGAAGTTCCCATAAAAGGTATCAAACCTTTTCTTGTAGATAAAAATGTTTTTCAAAGAGTATTTTCAAAATAAATATCACAAAGATTCAAGTTTCACTAGGTTCTGAATGTGAAAAATGATATATAGAGTTTTTTGACAGAAATAATTGATTATTTCAATGGATAATCGATTATTTTATTCTTCATAGAAATGAAAATTCACCAAGATCAGTTTAATCAATTATTTCTAAAGATAATCAATTATTCTTAAGAGTTACTTATGAGATAATCAATTATTTCATTGGATAATCGATTATTACAACAATGCTTCTCAAATTTTGAAAAACATAGCAAATAATCAATTATTTTAAGTGATAATTGATTATTTTGATTGAAAACTCAACACTTTGATTTTTCCAATCAGATCTTTTTTCAAATAATTTTTTATAAAAAAATATCATCAAACATCGCCTATACAAAGATTTAAAGCTATGTTAGTTAAAAAATACAAAACAAATATGCAACAATAAATAAATACATAACAAGATACAATTTGCACTTTTATCACTCAAGAGACCTATATTTGTAATCATCAAAGCTAAATACACCATGTCTTCATCTTGAGCTTGATCAACAATGGTAAATATTAAAAGACAAATGTCCACAAATTTAAGTAGTAATATGACTTCTAACTAGCCTTTAATATTGACTATCCTTATGATATGAATCCCATACAAATCAAAATTCA